CATATTTGTTGTCATCCCCCTACCCCCCCCCACTCGGAGCGAGACGCTGCCTGGGCGTCGCCATGGCAACACACGTCACCGCCAGGGGAGTCCCGCACCGCCCGCCCTCCCTCAGGCCGCCATGGTGATGCGGGGAACGGCGGCAGCGCCCGGGGAGAGCGCTCCCAGCGCCCCGGAGAGCCGCGATGGGCTCGGGGCCGAGGAGCATCTGCTGCCGGTATCGCCCAGGCCGACGGCCGCCCCTGCGTGGGCGGGTGGGGCGGCTGTGCGTGACGGGAGCGGCGCAGCGTGAGGGGCGGGAATGGCCGTGCGGGAGGAGAGCCCCGCCGCCGCCGCCTGGGCTCGGTGCAGCGCTGTGGCTGCTGGTGTTTACAAGCACTGCCAGCCCGGGGAAGGACCGGGTTGTTATCTTGTCCCTAGTGACTGTCTCTGCCCCGGCAATTACCGTAACAGCGCCCCGGAGGACGGGCAAGAGCCGGTACCTGAGCCCCCGCCTGGGCCTCGCTCCCTGCCCGCGAGGAGCCGGGCCTGGCCTTGCGGTAGTCACAGGGCTCCGAGGAGAGGCTCACTGTGGAGTCGCCATCGTCCACATCGTTGTGAGCTCTCCACCCAGATCAGGACGCAATCAGAGCTCTGCGACCCGGAGGGGGTGAGGAGGGGCCTGACGGCCTGTTTGGGCGAGGGGTCCCTGTCACTCTGCTGGGGAGGGGAGTGCATCCCTCCGGCTCTGGTTTCCCGCTATAGTGCAGTGAGGTGGAGCACGGGGAGGCACCCACTGGGCAGAGATGGCAAATTCATGTGTGTGTGACTGCCCCAAAACTCAGCAGGTGAGCGATCATGTGGCAGTTACGTCAAGTTTGGTTTTAATTTCTTAAGGCAGCTCAGTGGGAAGCTTCATTATGTGTGTGTTTCCTGCCTGTCTCCTCACAGACCTAGCAGGTGAGCCTGACCATATGGCAACTACAGTGATGTTTTCTGGGGATGGGAGGGTTTCAGAGAGTGTGCGTGTGCGTTCACAAACCCACAGGGCAACACTCACCATGTGGTGTATACAGCAATGAAGTCTTTGGTGCAAAGGGGCTAATTATTATGTGTGTGTTTCCCAAGAGACCAGCAGGTTGGGTCTGATCACATGTGATCACTAATGCAAGGCTGAGAGGGAAACTGCATCGCACATCCTTAACGCAGACAAACTCCAAGCTCTCAGAAGCGAGGCCAGCCATGGGACAAGCACAGTGTTACAACTGCACGCATCAAGGCCTACAATCCTGTATATTTGCATACAGGGGCAGATGGGGTGGGGGGTGAATGCACCCCAAACTGGGTAGCTGTTAAAACTCTGAAACAGGGAGTAAGTGTGCAGTGCTAAGCGATGGAAATGGGCAACCCTGCGTTTATGGCTCTACACACAAGTGTTTGCTTTCTTACAGCTAGTGAATTAATGTCACCATTTCCTACTGACCCATGACTAGTCAGTGAAACACTCCAAGCTTAAAAATCAAGGCAGGTAAAATTGTGTCTTTCTCCATCTGAAGTTCTGTTCTTTATAATCACGTTACCTCTTTGTCTGGTATGTGCCCTTTTTGCTCCAGTTCAGCTCCTCTTAACAAGACACATGGATGATACCTGCAGGTTCTACATGCTTAGATTTTTCTGTAGGGTCCTTTCTCCCTGGCTGTTGTGGCCTTGTTCCTTCTTATTTCAGTTCACAGTTCTCTGGTTATTTCTGCAGCATCCCTTTTTGTGGTTTCTCTTCCTTTGCTGATTCCTTTCTCAGTGGCACTTAGGCCTCTTTCCTTCACCTACTTCTCTTCACTCTCAGGATCTTATTTTAGTACTATGTAAGCTAATTCTGCATTACTTTAGCCACATTCCTGTGCCAGTGACTCGATGAAACACGTCTAAACTGGTGTACCAAGGGGGCTTTGTGATGGATTAGAAGATACACCCCTGCACTGAAGAATACTGGAGTGCAGATATTGTTCTTTGCTTAGCAAGGCCCATCCAGATCTAAGCTCTGGGAAGTATTTTTTAGACTTCTCCCTCTGCAGGCTTCATAAACTAGAGGTGGTCACCAGCATACTACAGAGGCTGACTTGTCTCTCTGCTGACAGTGAACTACAGTGATTTCACACCCCACTCCCCCCCTAGTCCTCTCTCACTGTAGTCTAGCTACAGTGCTGCCAGGCTAGCAGGTCACCCAGGCCCTATGCTCTTCCCTGTTTGTTGCTGGGCAAATAATCCCAGGACATCCCTCTTCAAAAGATGCTGCATGTACTTGGATCTTCTTCTGTCCAGATCCTGTGGCTGATTGTTTATATTAAATATTCTTGCACATCCATAAAGAAACATCATCAGCACCAATTCAGGCTTAACAGAGACACGTTCTCTCCTGGAACCTCTCCATGTATGTGTGCTACAGTACCTCCTACCTGTCTATGTGTCACAGAAACATTGCCTTGCTGTTTCTTTTCCTCTTGTCCAGTGTGTTAGCAGGTCTGTCTTTCTCTTCCTCTATGAAAAGGTGACCGACCACATCTGTACCAGTAGCTAGGACACTTCTTACGTCTGGTTATTCTTTATCCTGCTACAACCCAGTTCTTTTAGGTTCCCTGATAGCCATGTCCCATCCCAGTCCTCCTTCAAATAATTTCTCATACTGCTTACCACTTTATTCCTTTATCTAAACTTTCTTTTTGTTTTTTAGGTCTCAGACAGGTCTGTCCAGGTCTGCAGCTCTAGTCTGATTTCTTACCATGTTCCCATGTCCCCTTATTCCCTTTGTTCTACTTGCTATTTCAGCTTTAGTATCCCCTCATCCATATTTCATCCCTATCTATTAATACCCATATAGCATTTTTCATCTGTAAATTTCTAAGAATGAAGTGCCTGTAGAGAAACCTTCCATATCAGTTCTTCACATGACCTCTTTATTCACATGAGAGACAGACTCACTTCTATGGTAACCACAAATACTAATTCAAAGGACTTTGGCATCTAACTGCCATTCATATTACCTCAGCTTAGATACCTGCAAGAAGGTCTGCTGAGATCCAAGACAGCTGGGGGAAGGCACTTTTTCCAGCCAAATTAGCTCTTCTGAGTTAACTCACACTTGAAAAACCTAGAAATGCCACACTCATTTTTTTTCGTCTGAGTTTAATGCTACGTTATATTCACCTCACCAAGCTGAAATGGTGTTAAATATAGATGACATGCAGTCTTTCCAAAAACAGTAAGATAATTTGACAGAGAGAAGTGGAAAGTTCACACAGAAAGTTCTTTTGAAAATGGATAACTGAATGGTGTACCTTGAAGAATAAAGGCTGAAGAAGGGGGAAATAGCATTCAGGAATCACAGAATGGTTTGGGTTGGAAAGAACCTTAAGATCATCCAGTTCCAAGTCCCCTGCCATGGGCAGGGACACCTCACACTAAACCATGTCATCCAAGGCTCTGTCCAGCCTGGCCTTGAACACTGCCAGGGATGGAGCATTCACCACTTCTTTGGGCAACCCATTCCAGTGCCTCACCACCCTCACAGTAAAGAACTTCCTCCTTATAGCCAATCTAAACTTCCCGTGTTTAAATCTGAACCCTTTACCCCTTGTCCTATCACTACAGTCCCTGATGAAGAGTCCCTCTGGCATCCTTTTAGGCCCTCTTCAGATACTGAGAGAAGCAGTTGCTCATTTTTGTGTATGCATTTTATATATATTTGTATAAGGGTGCTGCTTGGTGCAAAGACATCTCTGGTCCCTGACCTTCCAAAGCTAGTAATTTTGGACATCACAATACAACAAGGGATAACAGAACACCACTGGGAAACTCTGCTGCCGTGGTTAGCTTCACATTTATTGTTTCAACCATATTCCTTATCTCAGTGTATCTTTTGGCATCTTCACAAGCAAAAGCTGCTTCATTTTTGTGGCTCTTTACAGCTTATTCCCACCCTGTTATCTTTTAATATCCTATGGATAAATCAACGTCTTCCCCCCACACGTTTCATTCAGCAATAACTCACTACTTGTTACATTTTCAAACCAGCACCTTCATGCTTTCCCTTGCTGCTGCTTCTCACTCCCACTCACCTAATTTTCCTCCTTCAAATCCCTCCCTAAAAATCTCCTGTGCTGTGATGTCTACTGAAGGAATGATAATGAACAGTCAGCTGTGTGCCAGGAGTACTGTCTGTCATGGTGACTGGTGTCGTCTTACTCTGATCTGTCTCTTGCATCTACTTCCCATGCTGGACTTGAAGCAGGGCCCCTCTTCTCCAGAACTCATAACTTCTGGAGCAGACTCTTAAAATCCATCCTTTAAACAAATACAAATAAATTGAGGCAATGGCAATAGAAACACAAATGGAAATGCTGGCCAAAACCAGGTATAATTCAGTGATGATTCATCAGCTCAGGTAAATTTGCATAAAAATTAATGTGACTGACGACTCCATTACAAATATTGAGAAGGAAATGATTTTTCTAAATACAGGTTTGAACTATTTTTGTATTTATTTGTAATCCATAAGGACTTGAGTATGTTTTACTTTTATGTCTGTGCTTATATTTGAAACATTAGATACTCAATTTTTTGTTTATCTTTTGTCTACAGCCCCCAAGACTGTGGTGAGTAAAGAACATGAGAACGTGTAATACCACAGGGCAAAGACTGAAAGTAAAGTACAAAAGATTTCTGATCCCTTTGGTTTGGTTTTCTTTTTTTTTTAACGTCAATATAATTGGAACGTGTTGAAGATACAGTGATTTGCATTAGACATTCAATACTTTCAATTCAACTAGAGGTGACTTCTGTCAATACATAGCTGTCAAAACCCCAAAGATCTTTCACAGAGATCAATAAAAATCCAATTTTACAATCCTGAGATTTTCTGTGTTCAAAAAATGGCAAAAAAAAAACAAAAAAAAAAACAAAAAACCCAGCCCCAAAACATCCCTTTCTACACACTGCAAAAAAGCCAGTGAAGTGTGTTACTGATTTTTCACACACGGTTCTTAAATACCTGTTGAGGCTGGATAAGAACAAAAAGATTATTAACATAACATTTGCATGCATTCCACACACCATGTATGTGGTATGGTGTATGGTATGGTTCTTCAAAGTGGGGATGTAAAAATCCAGGTGTAATTGTGTAGAAATCATACAGTTTCTTTGGGTTTTGTATCACTTTCCCTGTGTAGAATAAAGCAGTGCAGGCATTCAAGGGTATGTTCAATTGGTACTTCAACATTACTGTTGGAGACAAGGTCATGACAATGTTTCTGCTACAAACAGCACATTGATGTTGGCTGTGCAAGCAGAGTGGGTACAATTTGAATGAAAATACAGAAAATTAGAAAAAAAAATAAAAGACCAAAAGGGAAAAAGAAAATATCTGTTCATGTTTTTAGCCAGATCTGCTGCATTCAGACAGAAAATTAAATCAGGTAAACTAAAAAAGAGACAAGATGAAAATCCAAAGCCCAGACTGAGGTAGCAAAAGTAAGTGAATTTCTCAACATGCATACATAGTGGAGGAATGCTATAATCTTATTCTTGTAACCTCAATCCACTCTTCTCCCAGCACTTATTGCTCTCATTAGTTAGGAAATATCTAAAAGCAGATAGTAAACTTCTTGTGTGAGGACAGTCTCTTTAATGTATTCTGAACATGCCTCGTATAACTTCAGCGGTTCTATACAAAAATAATATTACCTCTTGGGGTTTTTCTGTATTATTTCTAAGCACAGGAAACATTAAAATGCAGCAAGTCCAGAAAGGTCAAACTGTATCTCCCCTCATTCTGCGCAGGACTTCAGAAATGATCAAAAGGTTATGCTGAGGTAACTGATACGAAACCTGAAATACCATGATCACAAAACTTGCATCAATTTGTGCCCATGCAGGCAAAGCATCATCTCGTTTCACTCCTGAAAAATGATTTTATTTTACATTTTATAGCTATTTGGAACTGTTTGTTCCTAACGACTACTCCTCACAGATGTGCATCACTGTAGTGTAATTACACAGAGACACTGTCAGCCTGAAGGAACCCAACCTGTAAATTACACCCATACTGAGTATGGAAGGTGAGTGATTTGTGACTTGGGATTTGGAAGGCTGCCTTGCTTTCCTGCTCTTCCACCACCATTTCTGAGCTGGTAAAAGCAGGAGGCTGCCAATGTGTAGCGCTTGCTCAGACACACTTCCTTCCTTTTTCATTATTCCTCTATGTGGGGCAGAGCTTTGATGAGGGCTTGGTTGCCAGTGTGTGCTTAGGCTCTGCATTTGACTAGGGAAGGAAAGAAAAGTCAGCGCCAGCCACCTGGGTGCAGAATGGAAGAAGAAATGTTACCCAAGGATGGGAGTAAACCCCTGCTATTAAAACCAGGTATTTTAAAGTTATTTTAATAAAGAACCTTCATAAAGTTCCAGTCAGAAAGGTCAACATGTGCATGACAAAAGTGCACTTTACCTGGGAAAGGTGAAGGGCTAAGTCAGTTCTACTGGGGTTTGAATGTGTGAAGAAGAATTTGAACATGAGCAAGGCAGTGGAGGAACTTCAAACCTGCAGTATAATGCTAAGGCAGAATATTGTGCCTGTCAGAGGCAGGTAGAGGGGACACAAAGAACTCTTCCAAACCCTGCAGCTCCCTGGAAGCCCTCAGCTAAATATGCTCTGGTGCTCTGCAGATGTTTCCACGGGGTCTGAATGATACAGACATGGTGGCAGTGGTTACTACCCCCAGACTTAAGAAATTAAGATACATGCTTGTGTGATGTTTTCATGTATTTCTCCAAAAATAAGTCTTAATTTTTTATGAATATTTCTGATTATGGACATTTTCTAGACTCTGTCCTTTATTTCTATATACAGGCACATTTTATGCCCTGCATTTTAATCTGTAAACCCTACAGTTCTCCTCTTTCAATCCTTTTCAACATCTACTCCTTTAAAATTATTTTAATGTAACTAGTGAACACCTAAAGATGAAGGAATCAGAACCGATTATTTGACGCCCAACTGAAATTTAATTCTTCAGAAGGAAGGAGAGTTCATAATGGATTTAGGAACCATGTCAAGTGCCATACTGTAAATTCATTATTTGGTTTTAGTTACAATTTCTCAAAGTACTAGTGGCACAGAAAAAGGAGCAGGAAATCACTGAGAGACAATCACTACATGTGGCAGCTGGGAGAGAGGAGGTAAACTGAAATTGCAGGAATTTACTTTAGACTGTAATAGGCTTATGTTAGCTAACACATGGCAACTAATACACAATAAAATCGCAGTGCAGAAGGGCCATTTTTAGTTTTCACATATTAACAGATAAAGGGGGCCTGCAAAAAAAGCTGGAGAGGGACTTTTTACAAGGGCCTGTGGGAATGGCTTTAAACTGAAACAGAGTATATTTAGATTAGACTTTAGGAAGAAGTTCTCCACTGCGAGGGTGCTGAGGCGCTGGCACAGGGTGCCCAGAGAAGCTGTGGTTGCCCAGTCCCTGGCAGTGTTCAAGGCCGAGTTGGACGGGGCTTGAAGCAACCTGGTCTAGTGGAAGGTGTCCCTGCCTGTAGCAGGGGGTTGGAACTGGATGAGCTTTAAGGTCCCTTCCAACTCAAACTATTCTGTGATTCTATACCTGAATCTCACTCCTCCTGTATAATGGGATATTACTTTCTGGCAGGTAAGATTTTAAGAGCTTTTATATTCCAGGTGCTATTTCCAAGAGCTGGTTCCTAAGTTGCCATCACTTTTGTGTGTACTCTGAATATGAAATCAGCTTCCTTTCTCTGGTACAGCAGCCACCATCCTGAGTCCATCAGTTTTCAAATGGAGTATTTCAATGCCATGTGAAAAAGTAGGAGCAAGAGACGTCATGGGTGGGGAGACTTCTTTCCAACCTGGTATTTTATGCTGATTCTGCACTAACTATGGCAGGATTGGACACAACACTGGTAACCCAATGTCACCTTAAGTTACACCATCCTAATGGGGTCATGATTTTGAATCACTTCAGAGGCCCACTGCAGGGCAAGAACTGATTTGGTTTCCCAAGTCTCAAGTGCACCTCTCAGGACCTCCCTCCCATACAGTAAGCAACAACTTTTAAAGGGAGATGCTACAACCAACCAGTGAACCAGGGAATGACAGAAATAATGGTGAAGCAACCCAGTGTAACAGTGTGCTCTTCCAGAGATTTACACAACAGGCAGGGTTTAAAACAAACATAAGAATAGATGCTATTTAATTAGGACCTTCACAGAAAAACATCTGGTATAATTGGTTAAGGGGAAGTCTTTACTCAGGCAACATTTATTGGGATATAAACAATGTCCAATTGTAAAAGCTAATTAAACAGCAGGGCTAAGGTAACAGAGAGTTTTGCCTGCATGACTAGGATATAAGGTTTATAATCCATGCTGTTATGGGACAACAGCAGCAAGAACAAATAATTGTGTATCCAAAAAGTCAATTATGCCCTTCTTTTAGTAATAACATGCTCCAGAGGTCACAGAAGACTTGTTCTTTAAGTAACAGAGCCAGTTCTCAATAGAATCTGAAACTTGGTTACTGTTCCGTGTTTGTTAGGAAATGAAAGTGGCAAAACAAGCCTGATGGATAGTCCACCCTATTCAATGGTACACTACTAGCCCATCACTGACAAGCTATAGGTACCCCGATGGCCTTTGCTTTCACAGAGCAAACTCCATTTTGAGCCATCTCCCCTGTAGCAGTTTCCAAGGAACTTGCATTGACCATGTATTATTTCAAAATGTACTTTTAAAAAAGCTCATTTACAAGTAATAGGGATATTTTTATAGATACATATTAGTTGAAATAATGCAATTTAAATGGCAGGTACAGACACATCCATGTAGCTACAAATTCAGTGACCAATCCATCTTGCAGAGTTTCCTCAGAGCTTCTTCAATGGGTGACAGCGTGGGTTCACCTGACCCCTCCAGATTCCTCCAGGTTACCCTTGGGAAAGCCTCCACCTTCTACAGCACATCCAGGGTTGTATCTACTTGGCAGCGCTGTACCTGCTGTTACAATCCCTTCAAATGCAGTCTCTGTAACAAAGAAAATTCTGCTTTATTCACTCTCTTCTTGCTTATCTTCTTTGCACTGGTGGAATGATGTACTTCTGCAAACTGGAAGGAAATGAAGTTTCAGAGGCCAGGCAGATACTCCCTCCTCTGTGAAGAGAGGGATATTTTCCCCTGAACGCTGCTCTATGCACCGTGGGGTTTGAGAAGCACATACTATGAACAACTACAACAGAGAACTCTTCTTCCAAACCAATGATATCCACAAGAGCCTTTCATCCTTTTTTTTAAATAGTTATCTTGACACAGAACTGGCTGCAGTGAATTTGCTGTACTTCCCTATTATGGCATCAAGCAACTTGAGATGGCTGCGTGCTGAGCAGCAATACACAAACACACTGAAATCTTAAGCTACTCAATGGCCTTTTAAAGTGCACAAAATTTTCTCACAAACCAAGTATCTGCAGCTAGTGGAAAAACTAACTTCCAAAACTTTACATGTTTTTTAAATTCCTAGCCTCTAGCAATGTATTATAATGTAAAAACTATGCTCAAAACCTTATATATTTTCACAATAATTTTTACTTTAAATAATTTAATTTACTGCCTTTTAGATTGGAAAGCAGAAAGGACAATTTCAAACAGGAACTTCAAAACCAAGATGATAGAACCAAAGACTTTTTCAGGATGAAAGAACACATGTAAGGAGGATCAAGACCCTACAGTGAGATCAGCCATTAGCTAATTAAATATGTGACTAAAATTCATCATTTTAAATAGCAGCCATATTGATGGGGAGCAATCTGGTCAGCAAACAAATGATAGTGGATTTTTTTCCCCCCATATCTTCAGAGAGAAACATTTATCTTAATAGGATTCACTATGCCATAATACACACGGAATAAGTCAATGCTTACTAATTAAAGGACAGTGTCAACCTGATTTTCTAAACAGCTAATTAAAATATGTAGCATCTAATACTGCACTTCTTGCAAAGTATGCTGTTTAAAAAATACATCCCTGTAAAAGTTACTTGTTTTCCTATTCCCTTGTGTTTGCTTTTTTAATTGGTTTTTCAACAAAGGAGGATCTGCTGAACCAAGGTTCTATTTCTGTATCCAGTTCCATTAACGCACACCCCCGTACTTAGGTTGTAGGCCTGAAAGGCTAGGCAAGGAAAGAACGACACTAATCCGAAGGGTTTGCTGTTGGTGCTTTTGCAAGGATGACAAGATTTTCTCTCTCTCTTTTGGGGGGGGATTTTAGGTAATGTAGATGTTACTTGAAACTGTAAAATTTTCAAAGAGAAATGTTATTTTCCTATTGATGAGGAATCCTTAACCTTCCATTTTATAGATTAGTTTCTCAGAATAAGCAGGCTTTTGTGTTTCTTATTCTGATTCTGTATGTAGCTTTTTCAAGAGAAAGAAGTTGTTGTAGATCTGTCAGCAAGGCTCTGGGAGTAGGAGGATGTTTGGATTTCCGGCATATTGCAACGCAGTTCTTGGCCACCAGCAAAGCTCTGTGTGTGAATCTCATTTTATATCCGTTGTTTGCAATACCACATATTTTAAGAGACATTTGAAATAGTCTCTGTACTCTAATCCTAGATAAGTAATCACAAATCATTCCCTAAAGGAAACCGAGAAGGCAGAATACCTACTTGTACGTAGCTCATGTCATGAGACTGTGGATGAAATGATGCTGTCACAGAAATGGAATTAAATCTGTTGTATACTGAACAATTTCAGTCTGCATTCAAAGTTCTTAGCTCAAATCAGCCCATTGTTTGCTATGTTTTTTCTTTCTAGATTCAGATGTAACAGTATTTTGAATGACACACTTTTTGCATTAAAACATTATTAGCCAGCTAATTTTATTACTCAATTTATTAATATTTTAAAATGTGTATTTTTGCCATGCAGAAATCTGACACAGTAAATGATGAACTCTGTGACTGCTAATTAGTTTAGACCTGGAAGTATATGGAGCTCGTCCCCAATTCATATTTGCATTATTCTTTTCTCTGAAGATCACCTGAGGAACCACTCCCACTACTTCTTCTTTTCGATCCTCAACCAATATATAGAAAACATCATTTCCCCATCCAAGGCATATGCAACAGCCTTCAGAATGCATCAGAATAGATATTTCCTCAGTTGGAAGAATCACTGCATTATTGGTATGAGGTCCTGCCTGCCCTGGGCAGCATAAAACAAGCTTGGGATTTCCAAACATTTTGCCTTCTCCGGCAAAGGTGATTTTGTTATGTGTTAACTAATACATTATAAACACAGCTTCTCCTTTCACTTCCTGTGCCCTTCCATAGGCAGGCACTCAGCTCCTCACAAACTGCAGTGAAAATTCAGTGGGTGACCAGAGGCTTTAGCAATCTCTACACAAAACAATGAATTGAAACCAATCCTTTCAATTGTAAATAATTCCAGAATAAAAAAATAACTAAGAGTTGCATTGACAACGACTTAGGAGTGCACAATACTGTAACTGTCTGCATTCTGCAGTGTTAACAGGAGTTAAAACTTGGTTTAGTTATTAAAGTAATCAGGTATGAATCAAAGAAACCTCAGGAGATGCTGTTGTTGAGGAAGCAGATATTATTTTCACACAAACAAGCATTTTTCTCATCCTAACTTCATCTTAATGGGTATACATCTTTAATAAACAAAACCATTATTTTGAATTGTATCAAGAAATTTCCATCTTTAATACTGCTCCAATAAAAAAAAATACTGAAATGCTAAAAGCATTTTGTTTTTTTACACACACATCCAGCATTGCCATAATGCAATCTTGTAAATGCCAAAAACGTGGAGCCATGATCTATAATTTTAAAATGCCAGTGATTTCCAAGCTGTCACTGATCTTGGAAAATTTCCCCAGTAGCATGGGGAGATCAATAACTGTTTATAGACTTTTTAGTCCCAGTTTATAGGGAATGTGTAACTACGGACTATGTCAAATCTCTTAACTGAGAAGTGAAAGACTTGATTTCATGCTTAAAACTACCCAAAAACCCATAATGCTAAGAAAGGCAAGAAGGATGATCCAGGGAACTACAGGCCAGTCACTGCCTGCTTGCTCTCTGGAATAATAATGGTGCGAGTGCAGCAGCCATTTCTGAGGAAGAAAGAAAACAAGGTGATTAGAAACAGTGTCCAGCATGGATTTCCCAAGTTTGCCATGCTTGACCAAGCCTAATTACCTTCAGTGATGAAATGGCAGGATGTGCAGACAAAGGAAGAGCAGTAGGTGTTGTCCACCTTGACTTCAGAGAGGCTTTCAGCATGCTCTCCCCTAGAACACTTGTATCCGAGTTGGGACATTCCTGTGTGGATGGTGGGGTTACTGCTAGATGGGTGAAGATCCAGCTTTATGGGCACAATGGGCTAATGATTCATATTCCAATCAACAGCTGGTTACAAGTGTGGTCCTTGGGAGTTTACCATTCGACCTACAACACTGAGTATCTTTATCAGTGGTCTGGAGGAGAACACAGAGCACGACTTGGTCAGGCTTGCAGAAGGCACTGAACTAGGAGATTCCATTGGCACTCTGAAGATTAGAATTGTCATTTAGGGAGAAGTACATGGGCTGGAGGAACGGACTGACAGGAACCTCAGGAACCTCAACAAGGATATGTGAAAAGTCCTGCACTTGGGACAGGCTAGTCCCTTACAGTGGTACAGGATCGGACTGTATGGCTGAGAAGCAGCTCTGCAGAGGACACAAGGGTCCTGGTGATGTTGTGGACTACACACAGGTCAGCAGTGCACTCCAGCAGCAATGAAGGCTAACATCATATTGTGCTCTGCCAACAGGTGCATCAACAGTAGGTTGAGAGAGATTTAATTATTTCCTTTCCCTCTGTATTATTCAGGCTGGTTTTGTATCTGGAATATTATGGGGGACTCTGTATATGAAAGATTCTGATAAGAGCATTAAGCAGACAAGCACTGACATGAGTAGAGGGCTGCAGCACTTGCTCTTTGAGGAAAGCCTGAGAGACAAGGGCTTACTTATTCTTGCTTGCATACTGGAGAAGAGCCAAGTTCCAAAACACCTAAAACCAACCAGCCCATACTTAAAAAGAGGTGACCAAAAAGATGGAGCTAGGCTCATTACTAAGGTGCAAGTGGATATAAGAGAAAGCAATTAAATAAAAGGCTACTTAAGACTGGAACAGGTTGCCCACTGAGGCTGGGGAGTCTCTGTCCTGTCAGGTTTTCAAAATTTCATTGCAGCAAGGCCTGAACAAACAGATGTGTTTTCAAACCGATGCTGACCCTGACCTGAACAGGAGTTTGCACTAGAAAGCCTCTCAAGGTCCCTTCCAGACGAATGATTCTATGATTCCAAGTACATGTAAGAGTCTTTTCGGAGTTCCCATCCATCCCATCCTTAGGGTTGTCACTTTACATGCGTAGTTATGGGCTGACGTCAAAAGAAAGTAAATTAACATGTCCTCCTCATCTTTTATCTCAGAAGCAGGTTTAAGATCAATATTCTGTGAGTGCTCATCCTAAATTCCACTCCAAGGTTAATGCATCCTATTACCAGAAAATACCTTTTACTCACTATTTTTCCTTCCTTGCACACGTACCCATGTGAAAGTGGATAAGAATTTTGTTGTACCATGAAACCTTTCTCTTCTGGATCCAGATGGTTTTCTATTTGATATTTTACAGAAGAGATACTGAAAAACAATTTTATCTTTGATTATGTCTCTTTACAGCTTATTCATCAATGGTTTTCATTGTAGTAGATCAATTCTTTTCTATGCTCATCCATTTCTCAGTCTTCTGTTTCATCTGATTTTTTATCAGCTGAATCTTTGCCTTGTGTAACTGAAGTACGAGCTGTGGGTTAACATGCATTGCTGTGTCTGTAAGTCCACAATTCCTGAGCATTAACTGGGTAAGAACCTGTGATGCATATTGGTAACAAAGCATCCTATATGCCAACACTGCGAACAAACATGAATTCTTAACTGTTCTCATGAAACCCAAAACTGAATTATTCCAGTTAAGGCCAGGTTGGACAAAGCCTTGGGTGAGATGGTTTAGTGTGAGGCATCCCTGCCCATGGCAGGGGGGTTGGAACTGGATGATCTTAAGGTCCTTTACAACCCTAACTATTCTATGATTCTATGATTCTATGAAGGAAGACATACTGGAACTAGAGTCATCTTAAAACCTTAAGTTTCATCTCTTTACAGTTAAATTCACACTGTAAACTCCCTGGCTAGCAAGCAAAACATTGCAGGCAATCCTCAAAATCATAGAATCATGGAATCATAGAATGGTTTGGGTTGGAAGGGACCTTAAAAATGAACAGTACTACTGTTCAGTAACAGTAAATGATTACACATTCTAAATGTGATGGTATTTAGCAAATACTGGAAATGAATCATATGTGTTCTTCCCAATTCCTTTTGTGGGAGCGTGTAAACACCTTAAAATGCGCAGTTTCTTATCCGAGGTCTTATTTCCAACATTATGAAAGACTGCCCTAAAGTATTTAAACCTTGTGTTTTATCATTAAGCTGTAAGAAAAAGTTACAAACATACAAAATTAAAGTGGTCACTGGAATTCTTTAGCTTTTGTGCAATTAAAGTGACATAAAATGGCATTTCTAAGATACGATAACTATACAAAATTATTAAGCATTAAAATAGCTAGGAGCCTATTTGGGGGCAACAACGGCATGTGTTGGTGGCTTTGCCACAAACTAAAGCCAAAACTCAACTTCTTTTAAATCACATGAGAAATCCAATACTCTTTCTGAGGTGCAGTACTGTGTGTGTATATAAATAGAGGAAACAGTTTAAACCTACAACAAGGAAAATATCTTAAAAGTCCAGAAAGTTAATGAACAAGCAGTCCTTGTACTTTATCCTTATTCTTTTTCTACTCCTTTCTGTGCAAATCAGAAAAAGTAGAAAGTTAAGGCAGCAGTGGAAGACTCACCAAAATATATTTCAAGAAGAAAAAAGGATACTCAAATCGGTACATAAAAGATCAATAATGTTATACTGACTGTGGCAAGCAGAGTGAATATGAAGTCATGTGGCTCTGAGGCCTTATCTTTTAAGCTGCTCCTAATTAAATGCAGCTTTGCTCCTACTGGATGCTAAGGGCTTTCCAGGTTACTGCCTGTATTAAATGAAAATTAGATGCTTAATCTGTATGAACATTGCAAAGTTGATAGAAAAAAAGATAATGTGTGAAGTCTGTGTCAAAAAAGAATATTGCTGATTCATTCCAATGTGCTTAGACATTCCTGAACTCCAATGTTTCATCAGTACCTCATAGTATATAGGTCATAATCCTTAGCAGATAAACGCTTAATCCAAGATAAATCGTAATAAATCCAAATGAGATTAGACCTTTACTGACATATTCAACGAGCGGTGTAAAAACATGTTTGAGTGACTGTGATGCAGCAGTGGGAGTCACTGACTCAATTATGCTCAGAACTTCAGAGAAGTTGCAATAATAGTTAAAAGAAAAGCAGAAATTTGCTGGCAAGAGCCACTCAGGGGGCTCTTCTCCAGCCTCACTTCTGAACAGTATTCTTCTGATCTGTGAGTCTTCACAGTTTAAATCAGTGCTCTGTCAAAGTCACCTACTTTCTGAAACAAATGTTTTATTTATCTCCTCCTCCCCACTCCTACTATTCTGAATCTGAATAAAACCTGCAGGAGCCTTAAGGCTAAATCATTCAGGGGATCCACTGGCACTGTCATTCCCTCTGTATTCAGTAGTTCAGGATATCTGGATGACTTATCAAGTATTTAAAATAAAGCACATCTCTGCATAGATCTTTAAAAAAATCAAAAAGCCATGTTAAAATTAATAGTGCTGTGACTAAAAGCTGGACAATAAGACTAGAAAAATTGTTTGGTGCTAGAATCAGAGATTGCTACACAGGTCTGGAAGCTTTACCTGGAAGAAATTTTGTTCTTCTTTATTTGTGATACAAGTATAACCCCTTAACCTGCCAACTGTACACACAGCTGTGAACAAAAAGCTCCTGTCTTGAGGCAGAAGCATTTCAGTTACATTTTAAAAAGGTTTTTTATTCTGCAATAATGAAACTTCCAAGAAATCCTAATAAAGAAAACCAATGTTGCCTTACATTGATCAATTGGGGGGGGGGGGGAAATCACTACAGAAAATTACTACTTAATAAACTGTAACATGAATTAAGCTAAAATTTGGAATGAAGCTGTGTGGGTTCCATTAGTATTACTGAGCACACTCAGAGCGGTGATCCTGGGATACTGGCTTCGCGGGAGTTTCGACAGTGTGAGGAATTAAAAGTTGGTATCTGATGTCCTCAAAGCCTTTGATGCGTTTATACCTTTTACAGGTCAGCTGCAAAGATAAGCTTTGTAATGGCTTTCTATACTTACCTTGAAAAAGCACTTACACTCTTTCCATTGCTTAAAATAAATCTGACAACATTTGCTATTTATTCTAGAAACGGCAGTGTACATTAACAATATATTGATTCAGAATGTTGTATTCTGAACAGGAGATCTCCCCATTGTACTCTAACAGCACCGTGGAGCTCTCCGATTTTGTCACCATCTGACTTTAGCTACTCCTGCTGTTTCATCATCAAGTAAAACAAGCAAAACTGTGCCTTAGGTGTTACGATTCTTACAGTGATTGAGGTTAAGCCAGTTCTCATTAGGAAATCACGCCCCCTCCATTCAGTCCAGGTTTCTAAACTTCTGTAGATCCTGCTGTTGGCTGCTCAGGTTAGACAAAGAAACAGGGCGGACTGTGGGAGGAGTAACATGAATTAGGTGCTCAGGTGGAGAGAGATGCACAGACAAAGCAACACAGGTGCTTTTCTGGTTCACGTGTAGGATGAGCGCTCAGTTCCTTTGAGTTAAGGCGTCACATCATTCTCATTGCCTACAACATACGGCTCATTTTTCTGACGGAGAAACGTAAGTTCTTATTTTAGAAGGCACTCTTGTGTTTGGTTTTGTCATGTAATAAGGTATGAAGTAACATCAAAATGAACTAAATATTTTACTTTGTGTAGTACATGTATGAATCATGCATTAGCAGTATTCAGCTGTGTCCTGGGTTCAGCAGTAGGAGTCATTTTTCTCAGTCTTAGCAGCTGGGCTTAAACCACGACAAGCTGTAAGAAACATCCACTCTTCTTGGTACTTGGGAGGATCTACGTAGAATTCTCTTTTCAGAATAGCATGCCACATAATCATCATCAGTTGTGGAACAGCTAATGACCTTTTGCTATACCCATGGTGAAATACTTGCATGATAACCAGATCCAGTAGGAACTATAAAATGCTATATACATTTATTTGGAGTATTAAGTTGATTTTTTTTATTCCCTGTGCCCCCTCCCCCCCCCCCCTAAAAAATGTAGCCAAATAACTGAAATATTGCATAGTGCAGACTCACTATACTGCAAGTAAAACTGTGTAAGAGATGTCATTTTCTTTAGGTCTACAGAGCTTCAAAGTGAACCGCTTTTAGAAAAGCCGTTGTCTAATGGGGTGATACCTTATCATTTAATGGCTTGATGCCCTTTTCTTCACTGTTGTTTGGAGCTAGACTTCTCAATTTTTAGAAATATCAATACCTCTTCAAAGGAAAGCTGTAGAGGCTGTAAGTCAAGAGGGATTCCTGCAATTCTCTCAACACACAGATACAGTGCACCTACAAGTTCAGCAACACTACTTTGGTACAGCAAGAAGTAGTTCTCTATCAGCACACTGTTTCGGGGTAGATGATCTTTAACACAGCATGCACTGAGGACATCAAACTTGCATTCAGGAAAAAAAGAAATATCTGAATTTAGCCTTCTCTGGATTTCTGACAATCACATTTTATCTCCACTTTTCAGTGTAATTTATGTATTTCAGGGGCTGCCTGCACAAAGTATATCACAGGTCCTCTCTGTGATAGTGTGTCTCTAAAACAAGAGGATTTTGACCAAACTAATAGACAGATGAAGCCAAACAAACAAATCCCTGCTATGCTAATTTCTGAAACAGATGGCTCTGATCCAGTATTTGCTAGCAAATGTAATTCACTGTCAATCTAGCACAGAATCGTGTATGTCTTTCTGTCATTCTGTATGTATAGCACATAGGGAGAAATCTGGCTCAGGATACTCCACCCACAGCTAAAATTATACACAAAGAACTGAAAATCAAAGTGCATAAACAAGCACAAATTCTGCTGTCCTTACTGGAAGCGGAGATTAGACCACTGTTTTGAAGCTGCAGGTACAGATCTTCAAAACACCTAAAGATGTTAGGGCTGTAGTCTTCCCTCACTTTGTGGTAAAAATACCCTTGAAATGAATGCAAGCTGTATACACGGGTTGCAGCATGAGAAAATACCAGGCAAACTATCCTGTAAACTTTTAATTTTCTAGAAACCATTTTTTTTTTCTTAAATGCCTGAGGTTTTGTTACCTTTAATTCCTTGGAAAATAAAAAAGAAAAAAAAACCAGATAAAAATGTAAGTAATTTCACGTCCAGCCTCCTGACCAGGCCATGCAGCTGAAGCTGTGGGTCTAATTCAGCTTTCTGAGACAGGCTGTCTTTGCTGCTGGTGTACTTTGGCTAAATTTAGCCTAATGTTAAGAATGACCTACACAGCAAGGAAATAAACTGTTTGAAAAAATATAGGACAAAGCATATGTTTAAGGGAAAGCTTCCCACAATGTTCTATTTGTGGCACACGATCATACATTTGTGTCACATCATCTTATCCTTTCCCTGAGCATTGATTGAAAAAGAGGCTTTTTAACCTACTCAGAATTCTTCTTCGTACATCTTTACCGGCGAGGTTCACGGACCCGGTCGGGAGCTGGAGGTGGGGAGGGGGGGGGGGGGAGAAGCATCTCCGAGCACGAGATCGGAACAAACCCCCTCCTGCCTGCTGCACCTTATTTTCACTTCCAAACCCTGAGGCACCTGGATGCGTCGCGGCCCCGGGAGGGAGCGGAGCTGCACACACCCGCTGGGTACGTTACCCCGGCTCCGGTCCTTCCCCTTCACGCACCCATCCACGGAGGTCACCCCTCCGCGGAGCTCACCGTCCCGCACACGGATACCCCTCTCTCCTCACCCTCCCTAATTGCCCTACAACCTCCCCTCTCCCCATTGCTCAACGCGCCCGTTTGAGAATAAAAAGCCATTTCCCGGTCACCCGGCCCCCCCCCCCCCCCGCCTTCCACCCGGGCGCTGCCGCTGCCAAGATGGCGGCTCCTCCTCACGCCGCTCCGTAGAGCTGCGCTGCGCCGCGCCGCGCCCCTCCCGGCTGCGCAGGAGACCCCGTGGCGGCCGCCGCCACGTGCTGCCTTCGCGCGCTGCCGGGCCGCGCGGCTTGTGCTTGGTACCCCCGCGGAAGATGCGCGTCCAAGCCGCGGTGAGAAAACACCTTCTTCCTCTCTTCTTTCTTTCTTCTGCTCCTTCTCTGCCTCCTTCTCCGGTTCTACCGGGCGTGGAGGGGTGCGCAGAAGAGCGGGATCCCCTCTGCACCGGCAGCTGCGGAAAGGGAGTGTGGGTGGAGCGGGTGGGAAGAACGGGATATTCCAGGATCGCTGTGGAGAAGGGGAGCCGGAGCCTTTTGCTTCCTCTACCCCTCACGCACCTTCCCCCCACCCCACCCGTATTATGGTAGTCCCTAGACTAGGGTTTTTGGAAGGAAAATAACAGCCACCGGCGTGCTGCGGCTTCAGTAGGCTCCGCCGCCGCTCTGGGGTGCCGGCAGAATTGGGGGGGGGGGGGGCTGCCGTTGCCCTGACGGCCCTTAATGGCCGGGTGAGTTTAGAGCCTTGGTGGCATCAACTGGGTACGAAGGAGGCAGGAAAGGTTAAATTGGCTGGTGTAGTGGGTGTGCTGGTGGTGATGGTGTCCGCTGCAGTACGAGTGTACGTGGCAGAGTTGAAGAGTTTGAGGCTCAGTCTGGTTTACTGTGGTTAGTGCAGTTGTGATGGTTTTAATTATATACCTATGAGAGTATAGTTTTAATTGCATAATATTTATTATGGAAGTTAGCACTGGTTTGGTGCCGATAGCATTTATTTTCCTGCAGTGGACTGATGGTATTAAACATTCCAAGATATTAAAAAGGTAGCTTTGATGTAGCTGAAATGTCTGTTTGCTTCTTATTCTAGGTAGCATTAAAAATATATATTGCTAAAATATGTGTTGTGAATGAAAATGTGTGTTAAAAGAATATATTTTTTTAAATACTCTCTTCAAGTGTTTCTTAAGTGTGATGGCCCCTCTTGGATAAGAGGTGTAGGCTTGTACTGGCTGTGCAGACTTGGAAGTAGAGCTGCCTCTGATGATAAATCATCTCCAAACGTTGCCAAAGCAAGGCTAGGATAATTCATATTACATTACTTGTTGCATTTGTTTATCGGTTCTTAAGCAGGTCTCCCACTGGCTTCTTCGGAAGGTCGTTGTGCACAATGGCACCCTCAGCACCTCTTAAAGCTTCTATTGTCGTCTGTGTTAATAGAAGGTCACATAATAGTATTTAACAGGTACATTCGAGGGTTTGTTTTGTGCCAACACTTGGCTGCTTCTTGTAAAGAGGGCCAGGGAGGGCAGTTGAGATTTTCTATATATGTATAAATGTATATTTATAAATATAAAGGAGGTCCCTCTTTCTTTTTTTTTCTTTTTTTTTTTTTTTTTTTAGTTTAAGAGCTCCAGAATGATACTGGAAGCCTTAAACAAGCGCCCTGTTCTAGTGGTTGTGAGAAGCAGAACCTGCAACATAAGCAGGAATGAAATGGATAGTCTAATTTTACTATCCACACCGAGTGACATATAAAATAGTAAGGAGGCCTAAATGGTCAAAAGTAAATTAGGTTTTTAAATTGGGTAATGTTTGAGGATGTTAGAGTATTACTGCATTTACTTCGTTGTTAATAGTCGGAGATGTTTTAGGAAAAAGTAAGGGAAGATAAATCATACCAAAATAATTTAAATGACACCTAAAAAAAATAATCAGTTACAGTGTGAGGCTTACTGCTATACAGAGGAAGAAGCCTTTGCACAGAAAGAAGCCTTTTACTTCACCTATTGAATAGAAAAATGTAGGCTAGGGAGTAAGTGCTTGACCAGCTTTGGCTGTAGGGAAACTTGGGAATGCTCTGAGGAAATGGAGATTCCTGCATCGTTGCAGTTCAGTATTGCTAGTGAGATACATGGAACAGATATGCATGCTTTTAATTGAGTTTTGAAGGGGATTTGATACACCAATGACTTTACTTAGCCATCCACAGGAAGAACTTACATTTTTGTCTCAGTACAAAGAAATGCCTCAAATTTAGAAGTTTTAATGACTTCTAAGCAATAGGTGTTTGCTGTGGCATTAGTTAAGACTGCTTCATGGATTCAGGATGTCCTGGTTTATGTGGAGGAAAAAAAGGTGACACCCTACAGCCATAATGCTCTGAAAGCTTTGTCTGGACAGCAGTCCAGTGGTGGCCATACAGCCTCTAACGTTGAAAATGGGCATGGAAAAAACATTGCTGCGGGCAGCGAACTCTCCCTGGGTGGTTAAAGGGTTACCATGGGCTAATGTGTAGTGATGTAACAGAAGAGAATTCTTCTTAAAGCCTGTCAATGTGTATTAAATGTGAGAGCACATTTAAAAAGTAGAGTTTTGGTTCCACATAGCTGCAGAAGTAACTTCCTGAAAGATGTTTCCTGCTAAGGTTTTGCTAAGCAGAAACAAGTTGACTTGTCTCTCAAGAGGATGTTGGGTTTCATGCCAACACTGTGTTGGGGAGAGGCAGGAGTTGTTAATTGTAAATCATTTTGCTGTTCATTTTCTGGGATTGTGGGTAGGAATTCCTTTCTACCCATTTTTATTTAGCCTGGGTATACCTGGGGTTCTTACAGCTGGGAGTCAGCAACTCTTTTATTAATTTTCTAGAAATAGATGTGGAGCAAATAAGTTCTTAAATAACTCTGGGTTGTGTCAGCATTTTTCTTTGCTTGTTTCTGTCAGCGTTAACTAACTGTTACTGTTCAAACCAGGCTGGTAATAGCCTTGAAGAATGGCAAAAGCAATGAGAATGGATGTATTTTCATGGAAAGGTAGTGTATAAGAGGAAAGAAGTAAAACCTTTAATATTACCAGTTAGATTCCCATTATCTGTAACTGCGTTTTGGCCTTAAGGGAAGTTCATACCTAACAGCAAAATCTGTGTGAAATAGCATCACATTTTTATACTGGTCTAGCTGCCTGGATAAAAGAAAGACATGTAGAGTATAGCATTATTGATGTAGCAGTGTATCAGGATCCATTTGTGGTAGCTGTGGATATGTTGAGAATGAATGGAGGGAATGTACAATAATTATAATCCTGGCCCTGTTAAGAATAGTACTGTCCTGAGCAGAAAAGAGTGTCTCAAAACTGTTGACAGAATATGCCTGTCATAGAAAGTTAAATCTCTCTGGTATTTTCTTCACTTTTTCTCAGTTTTTGAGGAATTTGGGTGGGAGGATCCTGTGTTTGAACAGCAAAAGGGTGCAGACAAGATGTAGGATTAAAGAGCAAGCTAAAAAATCATGACTAAACTCAGTAACAGTGACAGAATAATTGTGGTCACTTCCAATTAGCCTGTTTACTTCACAGTAGCAATTCAGATTTTTCTAAGGAAGTATATACACTGGTGGGTTTTAATTAGCTCTCCTTGATTTCTTCGTACATATCTTAATTAAAAGTTTGGTTGTAGTTGTTAATTATGATGTACTTGTTTAGCCTTTTGTTTAGCCTTTGTTCTGTTCATGAATGCTGCCTTCAAACAGCATTGCTCTTACTCAAACATCTTGCATGATAGTTTTCCTTGGGGGTTATGGGAATGATAATCAGCCTTATGCTTGCTCTGTTTCCAGGTGCCAGTAAGAGAAAGTCTTTGGAAACAAGAGCTCAACACAAAAAGCATTTCATGTTCTACTGTGACCCAGTCCAGTTTGTCATTTAAAGCATTAAATTGCTTATCAGTAGCCTGAGCTGCTGGTGAGATTTTCATGTTTCCCCCTTTGCTTGGAGTTCAGAGTTCTGTTTTCAGTGTGTTTTTTGGTGTGGAAAGAGGCTCATAGTGGAGCATCTAAATGTATGTTGTACTTCTTGCAGCCTTCTCTATTTTGTCAGTTTGATTTTCTCCCCAAACTGCAGTTAGTATAGCATAGAAGCATGGAAAACTCTTAACCTCACACGAAAAGGAATAACATGTCAGGTATAACAGTGTATTACTGGATTCAAAAAGCAATTGACTTGTGAACCAGGCTTGGTGAACCATTTTATTCACAATGTCTTTTCATTACTTATTCAGATAATTGATGCAATGTTTGAAGTCCCTGAAGTGCACGGAAGCATCTGCAATTTCATTGACATAGCAAACTTTTTTTTAAAGTAATGCATTTCTGTATCCTCACAATAGAGAAAATATGCAGCCTTTTTTCCATAATGACTTAAAGTTAATGCATGGAAGATTGGGTTTGGGATTTCCATAAATTAAGGATTTTTCCCACCTTCCAACAGTTGGGTTTTAGCGCTGAAGCAGTGTTTCTACGTGGGTTTTGTATGAGTTCACTAAGTGTTCTCATGCTTCCCCCCCCCGATTCTAAAAAGTAGTAATAATAAATGGTATTATTTGTAAAGCTGCTGCTACTTCTCCAGTTTAAGAATACATTGAACAGATGCCTCCTATTACCATCCACTTCAGTGTGTTTACTAGTGCTTCATACAGCCTAGGTTATACTCTTGTTTTCGTGTTTCTAAGTGCTCCTATAGCCTCTTCCTCCTGAATGCAGTCAGCTGCTCCCTGATTTGGTTTACATGCTCTTAGTGTCTCCCTCGGGTTCTCTCCATTCA